TAAGACAAATGTCAGCCTGCCTTACAGAATTGAGAGTATTGTGCATCTTCAACGGAGTGGGTTAATTAAGATACTCTCCTCAGTTGACTGCTGGATTGTTTTCCCAGGTCCTAATTCACGGGATCTCCGATCACATAGGTTGGGTTACCCCCATGGCAACTTACGTGGGTCTCATACCCATTTCCCTCGATGTATTTTCTATCACAATCCGTGATAGCCCTTTCATAAAAGGGTCTGCCAGATTCTTAGCCGTCTAGATATAATCCAACACTATTACTCCGGAGTTTCTTCATTTTCTGATAGATTTCAATCTTTTTCTTATGTGCTTTGTGAATTTCATGTTATCCTTTGAACTCTTAGCCTTGGCAATCACTGTTTGATTGTCACAGTTCATAAGGACAGCCGGCACTGGTTTATCAACCACCGGCAAATCCAACAAAAGCTCTCGAAGACATTCTGCTTCGACGCATGATGTGTCTAATGCTGTGAGTTCTGCTTCCATGGTCGATCTGGTTAAGATCGTCTGCTTGCAAGACTTCCAGGAAACAGCACCACCACCAAGTGTGAAGACATGTCCACTTGTGGCTTTCATATCATCAGCATCAGATATCCAATTCGAATCACTATACCCCTCAAGTACCGTCGGGTACCCAGAATAGTGAATTCCATAGTCCGTAGTACCTTGCAAATAGCGCATGACTCGCTCAAAAGCATGCCAATGCACATCTCCCGGATTGGAAACAAACCGGCTCAGTTTGCACACAGCAAATGAGATGTCGGGACGAGTAGCACATGCCAGGTACATCAGTGAACCAACCACTTGAGAATATCTCAATTGATCTACAGCCGTGCCTTCGAATTTTCGAATCCACGCGCTAGGATCATATGGTGCTGCAGAAGTTTTGCAGTCCGAATATCCAAAACGGCTCAAAATCTTCTCAACATAGTGGGATTGCAAAAGTGTAATTCCACCTTCAGAATTTCTCAGTAGCTTGATGTTCAGGATAACATCAGCCACACCCAGGTCCTTCATCTCAAAGTTGTGAGATAGAAAAGACTTGACCTCCTCAATGACCTTGAGGTGGGTCCCAAATATCAGTATGTCATCGACATACAGACACAGTATAACTCCTTCGCCCCACCATAGCGATAGTATACACATTTGTCAGCTTCGTTCACAACAAAGCCAGCAGATGTCAGAGTAGTGTTGAACTTCTCATGCCATTGCTTAGGCACTTGTTTCAGGCCATACAAAGATTTCACTAGCTTACACACCTTTCCTTCCTGACCATTTACTACAAAGCCATCCGGCTGTTGCATGTAAATTTCCTCGTCTAGCTCTCCGTTAAGGAAAGCCGTCTTAACGTCCATCTGATGAACGAGAAGACCATGCGAGGTAGCCAAAGCGAGTAACACTCGAATGGTTGTCAGTCTACCCATAGGTGAATAAGTGTCAAAGAAATCCTCTTCTTCTTTCTAGGTATAACCCTTGGCCACAAGCCTAGCCTTGTACTTCTCAACAGTACCATTGGGCCTAAGCTTCCTTTTGAACACCCACTTACATCCTAATGGTCGACAACCATAAGGACGATCAGTGATCTCCCATGTCCCGTTAGCCAAGATGGAATCCATCTCGCTGCGGACCGCATCCTTCCAGTAGTCAGCATCCGGAGATGCATAAGCTTCTGAAATGGAACTGGGAGTATCATCATCCACGAGGTACACGAGGAAATCATCACCAAAGGACTTTGCAGTCCTCTGTATCTTGCTCCTGACAGGAGCTTCCTCGTCATCCTCCGTGAAACTCTTATCACTTTTATGTTCATAATATTCCATCGGAATAGCAGGTTCAGGAGTCTCATCAGATTCCAGTCTAGAATTGCTTTGCATATCTCTCATGGGGAAAATATCCTCAAAGAATGTAGCATCCCTAGACTCTATAATTGTACCGACCTTCTGGTCAGGTACCTCAGATTTCACCACTATAAATCTATAGCCAACGCTATGCTTGGCATAGCCAAGAAAAACACAGTTCACGGTCTTTGGTCCCAACTTGTGCTTTTTGATTATCGGCACATTGACTTTCGCCAAACAGCCCCAAGTGCGCAAGTGAGAGAGTGTAGTTCTTTTCTTTTCCCATTGCTCATAGGGAGTAGTCTCATTATCCTTTGTGGGAACTTTATTCAGACATGACAAGATGTCAATACAGCCTCCCCCCACCATGCCTTGGATAAACTCAATGTATCTAACATGGCGTTAACCAAATCAGTTAGAGTACGATTTTTCCGTTCGGCAACCCCATTTGACTGGGATGAGTAGGGAGGCGTCCTCTCATGAATAATACCATGTTCCGCACAGAATAAATTGAACTCATTAGAAAAGTACTCTCCACCACGATCAGACCGGACTCGTTTTATTTTCTTCTCAAGTTGGTTCTCAACTTCAGCCTTATAGACTTTAAAGTAGTGTAGAGCCTCATCCTTAGTATTTAACAAATACACATAGCAGAATCTAGTGGAATCATCAATCAGAGTCATGGAGTACTTCTTTCCACCTTTAGTCAACACACCATTCATCTCATAGAGATCTGAATGTATGAGCTCTAGAGGTGCCAGGTGTCTCTCCTTCACAAGCTTGTGAGGCTTACGAGGTTGATTAGCTTGCACACACGCATGGTACTTAGAGCCTTTGGCTAAAGTGAAACTAGGGATTATATCCATCTTAGCTAGCCGCGTCATACAACCGAAATTTATGTGACAAAGACGTGAATGCCAAACTTCGGATTTGTTCACATTAGAATGAATTTGGTTCACGACTTTATTACAGAAATCCTCTAGGGAAAGGCGGAACAAACCACCACAATCATATCCTTTTCCAACAAATAGTCCATACCGAGATACGACCACTTTGTTAGACGCAAATACTAACTTAAACCCTTCTTTACATAGAAGGGAGCCACTAACGAGATTCTTCCTTATGGCGGGGACATGCTGCACGTTCTTCAGTTGCACGATCTTTCCCGAAGTAAACTTCAGATCTACCGTGCCAACACCATGAACAGAAGCATGCGAGCCATTCCCCATCAGGACGGAACAATCTCGTGCGACCTGGTAGGAAGAAAACAAAGACACATCAGCACACACATGAATATTGGCCCCAGTGTCAATCCACCAATCGGTGGACTGACAAACTGAAAGTATGGTAAACGGATTACCATCCCCAGATGCCGCATCATTGTTGCTCAGAGTGACATTCACAGACTTAGAGTCCTGTGCTGGCTTCTTGTACTTGTTTGGGCACTTGTTTGCCCAATGTTCATCGGAACCACAAGTAAAGCAGCCATCTCTCTTTTTGTCTTTCTTCTTACCCTTTTTCTTAAAGGTAGCATTCTGCTGGACAGAGTTCTTTCCCTTGAACTTGTGAAAATTCTTCTGCACCACATTGGCGCTAGAAGAACCCTCTGCCCCTTTCACGTGTGAGTCCTTTGCTCTCGAGTTCTGCTCAACACTGAGATGACCAATGACATCCTCAACAGAGAATTCACGTCTCAAGTGCTTGAGAGAAGTAGCAAAGTTCCTCCAACTAGGAGGGAGTTTTGCAATAATGCAACCCGCGACAAACTTGTCCGGTAACTCACACTTCAGGAGCTCCAGCTCCTTAGCAATGCACTGTATCTCATGAGCCTGGTCCAATACAGAACGGTTATCAACCATCCTGTAATCATGGAACTGCTCCATGGCATACAGCTCACTGCCAGCATCAGTTGCGCCGAATTTGACTTCGAGCGCATCCCACAAGTTTTTGGCAACGCCTATATGAATATAGGCGTCAACCAACTTGTCTCCAATCACACTCAGAACTGCTCCCAGAAAGATTGTGGTTGCGTCTCTAAACGCCTTCTCCTATTCAGGAGCAATCGTTTCTGTGAGGGACACACCACCAACACAAAACACGTTCATCGCTGTGAGCCACAAGGTGGTCCTAGTTTGCCAATGCTTAAAATGCGTCCCGATAAACTTTTCCGGTTTCAGAGTAGCAGCAAAGCCTTAAATCGAAAAGTGCCTAAAATAATGTTTTTGGATTGTTGGAAATATTAGCACTTTTCCGATTAGACTTATCCACGAGTAAACAGTAAGCATGGCATAAACGGTATGCATCTCATAGCAATACCTAAGCATACTCATAAGTATGAGTAAACAAGGGATGAACAGATCATACCCTCTGGTTGGCCAGGCCAACGCGGCGGCTGTAGCAGCAGCCTCGGCGTCATCCGTGGCCTTCTTCTTAGCGGCGGCGGCGGCCATGGTGTCGATGCAGAGGAAGTAGTGGAAGCAGAGGCGAACAGAGTTGGGGACCGATCGGGAGCAGTCGAGACGCTCCTCAAAAACCTTATTGCCGTGCACATAGTGAGGAACAATAGATGACAGCTAGGTCAAGCGAGAGGGAGTGAGTGAACCGAACTAGGTTACTTCACTCCCGGCAAGGGAGTCGTTGTTCCCGGCAAGGGGTCGACGAATCCTGGCAACGCGGGTCCCGCGAAGAGTCGCACCCCGGGTACCACTCCTCTTCCCAAGCTCCCAATGGCAAGTGGTAGAGCAGCCCTTATAAAGGGGTCTCAACTCTCCTCAACTAGCAAGGTGGGACTAAACTTCCCACCACCTATCATCTCATACATGGGCCTCAAGATTAACCAGGGATTAGTGTCTTATATGGGCCTAAGTCCATCCATAACCCAACAGCAACAACATATATGGGCACTAGATGATTGGCAATACAATCACGTCGGATCTCATCTGTTGTAATTTTGGCCGGCCACGTCCTTATCTCCTTTGCTTGTTGCATAGGACTCTAGATGTGGACGTTGGCAATACCTGCAACAACATATATAGGCACTAGATGGGTGGCAATACAATCACGCCCCATCTCATCTGTCTCTACAATAACGAATGAGGTGGGTTGGTTGAGACGTTGCGGGTCTCCCTGGATTTGCAACCGATGCAATGTCGGCGCACGCCTTTGGAAAAGAATGGAAGTCTTCCCAATTTGGAGTAGGCTTTCGAATCCACGATGGGTGAGTGATTGCGCACGGTGAGCGAGAGATTTCATAGGATCAAAAACTGGCTGACACATACACACGCGCGCGCGCGCGAAACGTCGCCTGTCGCCGAGCATTCATTTGTAAGCGTGGGGTTCGGCTCCTCTACAGTTATGTTACTACTGGCCACCCGTAGTTACTTGTTCAATCTGCCGTTCAATCTAATCGGAGGGCTTCCCTTTCTCTCCATCCTTCTCATCGCAGCGACGTGTACTTCCCGAGGAAGCGGGCGTTCTTGCTGTCCACCGACCAGTGATGAACTCGAAGAACTCGGCCTCAATGGCCGTGTACTCGACGTGCTCCTTCTACTTGTATTTCTAGCCACGACGATCTTGTAAAATTTCAGCAAGAAGGCGATCTTGGTGCGTGATCCACACCCATGGCATTAGCTGTGAAGGAAAATCCTAGCTACCCAGACCGCGCCGCCCAAGCCGTCCATCTCGCGATCGGACGGCCCCGGACGTGCACCCGTGCATTTGCTCGATCCCTTAACGATATCCTCCCTCTGTATCTTGTTCTGCAATTCGGGGAATGAAATACTACACCCATTTAATAAACCATCAAGCCATCGCAAGAGGAGAGGAGGGACGGACGCGATTACATGCTGGAAATGGCGTCGCGTCGCGTTTTTGGCAAGGCGCAAACGCAGGCAGCTGGGCGGGATAACCGCATGGCATTTCTGGGGCTCGCGTGCAGCTAATCTCCTCTTTCAAACGGGGAAAGGACAGACAGACGGCCGCGGTCTCCTGCGCTGATTTGGATATCTATAACATCCGCGGCATTACTGCCACGACAAACGAGAGGTTTGGCCTGAATTTTTGCCCCATTTGCTGCTGCGCCTACGCTCGTGTCGTGCGCTCTCGTCTCGCGCGTGTATGTATAAGTACATACACATGAGCACACGGCTGTCGGCGTCATCGGTCGGCACGGCGGTGCTTGCAACCTACTACCAGCAGGCATCCCCAGCCAGCTCTTCTTCCACCGATTCAGCTGCTGATCGTGGTAGCATCGGTGATCATCATGGTATGCGCGTCAGCTATGCTCTACCGTCGCTCATCATCTATGTGTTGCTTTGCCTGACGTGTGGATCTTGAAAATGGCAGAGGGCTGCAGCAGGACATGGCGCCTCCTTCCTCGCGCTGCCGCTGCTACTGCTTCTCGTGGTGTCGGCCGAAGCCCGATCTGCGGCGGCGGCCGGGCGGCGGAAAGGGGAAGGGACTCGGTACAGCGTCATGGCTTTCCACGCCGCCGGGGACGGCAAGACGGATGATTCCAAGGTATAACATCAGCGTACTCCCATACGATTCTCGACGTGCATGCATCTTGGTCACCACATTGCCGGTCAGATCAGATCTTTCTTACTTGCTTATCTGCACCCTCCGTCTTCGTCTCGCCGGCAGGCGTTCGAGGAGACGTGGGACTCGGCATGCAGAGACAGCGGCGGGGCGACGGTGTACGTCCCTGAAGGAAGGACCTTCCTGCTGGGAGAGACCAAGTTGCAGGGACCCTGCAAGTCGCCGATCACCATGCAGGTAAAAACCATCCGGCGATCGACGACGATCAGGCCGTCCGTCCTGCATGACCCATCTTCGTCTCTAGTCTCTAGCACAAGACATATCATATAACCGAGGCTGGTGCTTCCGCAGGTGGACGGGGACATCGTGGCGCCAAGCTCCATCTGGGGCCTAAAGTCGTTAACAAGCCTCCTGGCCTTCTACAGGGTGGACAACCTGACGGTGGACGGCAGCGGGCAGATCGACGGCCGAGGCGCGCCGTGGTGGGACTGCTACAACAAGAAGGTAACAGCAGCATACCTGGGCAAACAAATATGGCCGTTGCCTTCTTCATTCTATCTTCATATATACATACATTGTCCACAACCTGACGCTGACGCCCCTCCTCTCTTGTTCCCACAGAAATGCCATTACCGGCCACAGGTAAGCGCACACACAATCCCTCTTTCAGTTTCAATCTGGAACTAGTCAGGCATATGTATGTGTGTATGTTGAAACTCATCCAGGCTTGCACATACTTGTAACCCAGCTGGTGTCATTCTCGTTCTGCAACGGTCTACGGGTGACCAACATACGCCTCAAGGACAGCGCCGACAAGCACATGAGCGTGTTCGAGTGCAGCCAGGTGCAGGTGCACAACGTCACCGTCGTGGCGCCCCGCGACAGCCCCAACACGGACGGGATCACCATGGGGGCCTCCGACCATGTCCGCATCTCCTCTTGCAACATCCACAGCGGTACACCCCCCTCCTTCACTGCATGCACATTGCAGTATCGCATCAAGGGTGTTTGCAACACTCCTGAAGCATGTTTGCAACACTGCTGCTGACATGGATACATTGGACAAGTGCAGGTGATGATTGCGTGTCGATTCTAACGGGCACCACCGATGTCAACGTCACTGACGTCATGTGTGGGCCCGGCCATGGCATCAGGTATACAGATGCACAACACAGCCATGCTTATATATGCAGGCCTGTGCTTACCAAGTGCATAAGATATTTCTGATAAGCATTGTCTACTGAGTAGCATACATTGAGCAAGGTTAGCTGTTTTGACCTTATTGTGTAGTGTGGGAAGCCTTGGAGGTGCCGGTGAAAAACAAACGATGGTGGAAAGAATTACAGTATCCAACTGCAACTTCTTTAATACGATGACCGGTGTCAGGATCAAATCGTGGCAGGTAACACTGAAGCCGCATCTACATGCATGTGTGTGCCGTCAGTTCAAAGATACCAACCCATGGTTGCATACACCATGGTAGTATTTTCCCCAAACTTATATGATGTTATGAGAAATGCAGGGAGGGCGAGGCAAAGCGAACACGTTCCTTTTCACGGACCTCAACATGACTGAAGTACGGTATCCTATCTACATCGACCAGTTCTATTGCCCCCAGGGAAACTGTCCAGAACGGGTGAGGAAACCCACTCAATTGAATTCAGTCACCACCACTACCTCAACTGAAACCATATTGGCTGCATTTGCAGGAAGGTGGTGTGGCCATAACGGACGCAAGATTCATCAACATCCGGGGGACGTCCTCGGAGCAAGAGGCCATCCAGATCCTGTGCAGCAAAAGCGTGCCATGCCACGGGATTTTTCTCCACAACGTGGACCTCTCTTGGGCCAACCACACGGCCCCAACAAAAGCCAAAATCCTAAATGCCCAAGGAAGAGTCGCGGGCAAGGTGAAGCCACAAGTACGCTTCCGTGGCCTCTGATCAGAAGTGCTCTCCGTCGTGAACATAGTGCTTGGACATAGACAGAGGAGCAAGTGCAGAAATGCTTACCATAGGTGAGCGCTACGTGAGGCAGGGTAGTAGTGCTAAAATTGGATTGGTTGTAATGATGGTGGTTCATGCCATCTCATATCTGTCATGCCTACAACTTCTCAATGTATGGCCATTCTTCTATCTATAATATATAAGCAGGAGCACCGAGGTGCTTATCTGCGGCATCAATTCAGAGTATCTCGCATGATTCTGTCTCATATCTGTCATGCCTACAACTTCTCAATGTATGGCCATTCTTCTATCTATAATACTATAAGCAAGAGCACTGAGGTGCTTATCTGCGGCACCAATTCAGAGTATCTCGCATGATTCTGTCTCTGACCGGCCGAACACCACATACCGGTTGTTCGCGACGTTGTCGTAGGCGAAGTCCCTCACAAACCTAGCCATGGCACCGCCAAGAATTAGTAGTTTGCAATTGCAGTGGTTCAATTGAAAGCATGCCGTGTGTGTGTGAATTGAGCTTACAGAGGGGCAATTTTGAGGAACGCGGCGAGCTGCGGGAACGGCAGGTTGAGGTACTCCATTATCCTCAGCACAGCTTCAGACTTGATGTAGGACCTGCACAGCAACAACATTTCTGATACTTGGTCCATGGCTGATGTCCATTAACAATAGCAGAGCAGCTAGAGGCGATGGTTACCTGTCCTTCTCGACGAGGACGACGCTGGAGATGTCGTCGGGGCTTCTGCCGGACCGGCGCAGGAGCTTCCTCCCGGAGTCGCTCTGGAGGGGGATGTACCTGATGCTCCGGCCAGGGTCGCGCTCCCGCACGAACCGGACGCCGCCGTTGCAGAGGTTGCACACGCCGTCGAAGAGCATGATGGGCCTCGAGTCGGCGGGCTGGAAGAACTCGGCGTCCGTGGCCGCCTTCACGGGCTCCCCCGCCGCCGACGCGGCCGCCCGTAGGCTCGGTCGCCGGAGTCCCCTTCCCCGTCCTCCCGTGTGTCGCGGCTGCAGCGGAGGCCCGCGCTGCCGCTGGGGCGGCGGCGCAGAAGGCGAGCTGTAGCTGCACCAGTAGCGCCCGGCCATGGTCGCCATCGCCTCCTTCGTTTCTCCCGTGTATCTGCTGTGCAGTGGCTTGTTGAGGCTTCATTCTCTTCGGAGCCGAACGCACGGTGCGCCTGAGGCTACGTGGCACGTCCAGCAACGGGTAATTTGGCCAGGGTAAAACGGGCTTGCAGCCGAGCGGATTTGCTCCCAGACTTTCACATTCCAAACTAAAATTACATGAGAAGGACAGCGCTTGCATTTGCACCATAGTGGTATCCATCAACAACATTATAAACGTAGAGCCACCAGATTGGGACCAAGCAGAGCACACGCGAAAAAGATTATTTCCAGCCAGCGGTTTGGAGAAAAAAAATGCACGCGGAACAGATTCATCATCTGCCAAAGAGTTCACAAACACTGACACTAAGAAAATACAAGTTAAACAGGGACACACGCCATGTCTCATGCATTGGTTCTGAAGTTTTAAACAACAGCGGAAACAAAGTAGAGCAACGGGATGCGGTCGCTACGGCTTTGTTTGGTTCTTCAGGCCTCCTCCTCGCCTTCTTCGGCGTCTGCCGCAGCAGAGGCCATCAACTCGTCGAATTTCTCGCTCTTCCCCAACTCTATCTCAATCTGCGTGAACATATATCCATGTCAGTTTTAGTTGTTAAGTCGAATTTCATACATCAGAGAAATGACACACTGGCAACCAAAGAGACAAGCCAAACTGTTGTTCTTCTCTGACCTTGGCCTTTTGGAATGGGCGGCCTCTAGATTCGTCATTTATTTCCACTGTGGATGTCCTAATCTCTACACACATCAAGGTTAAAAGAGGAAAGTTCAGAGCACATAATGATAAACGGTAATGTTAACTGGCTGACGTTCCCTGGGAGGGAGGCCCCAGCGAACGCCCGCACAGCCGTTTGATCATGATCACACGTAGCAATTTTCGCATAACAACACCATTTGATCAGACATAGTCTACATTACAGGGAAAGAAGAAGATTCTTACTCTTCTCAACAGCGAGGCCGTTGTTCTTTAGAATCTCCGCCACAGTCACAACCGTCGCAATGGCTGCAAACACATCTTGGTTAGTGCCAACTTAAACAATAAAGAAAACAGAAACTCAATGAATGCGGAAGTGCCACTAATAAGTCCAGATGGCAGCCCATAACTTACATATGTAATCAATCAATTTTACTTGACAATCCTAAAGACTGATGTGTTTTCAACATCCAAGTCAAAGTGCCCATGGTTTGCAGAAGTATTGTGGATAGTCATAGTTATATGAGATTACTCAAGAGCGCAAGAGCGAAAGGGTCCATAGTGTAACGCTTGTGGCTCCAGAGTAGCACCTCCAGCGCATGATTCCCCGTAGAAGCAAATTTCAGGGCTGGTTAAAAAACCTCCCTCACTGGCAAACCATTATATCTGCATGGCACCGGCCCGGCCAGTAGTAATGTGGCGGCTGGCCTGTGTGTGTGGCCTGTCAGGGTTTGTGGGGTTCCTCAGTCGGGAAGTGAGGTTTCTTCTTCTTGCAAAAAATACGTGGGAGGCGATCTTCCCCCCACTGGCTGAGTAATCAAGAACGCGGTCTTTCCCCAACTGGCCCCGAGTACTCAAGAGCGCGAGATACAATCCGATTGACTTTTGCACAACTGAATACACAATATTCAGTTATGCAAACAGGCATATCCCACGACAGAAGACTATTTACAACAGATTAAGCAAAAAATATCACAGGAGCACGTTAATGTGCAAATATTTTTATCAAATGAACTCACCAGTTTCTGAAACTAGCAACAACACAGTCCAGGGGAATTGTTAGGGTTTAAGCAATAACAGAATATTTTACGGATCCTAGCTGTCCCGAAAGTCTAGTGGTTAACTACACATCTAAGCTACTCCCTCCGATCCATAATAAGTGTCACAGTTTGAACTAAGGCCGCACAATCACTCGATCAAATTCGCGAAAACACGAGGCACAAATCACACCATAAATAGTGTAAACATAGCAATCGGTTGCGCAGGCGGCGTTACCAAAATTACATCCCTACTGGCATTCAATCAATCAGAGGCACGGGAGAAACGAGACTCACCCATCCCGAGCGCGGAGAGCTCGACGTCGCCGTGCTGCTGCATATACCTCTGCAACCAACAAACCAACAAAGCAAAATCGTTTCAGAGACGGCGCGGACGAACGAACAGGGGATCGAACCAAAAAGGTGGACTGGCCGGCGCGGTACCTTGGCGAGGTTGACATAGAAGAAGAGGGGCTTCTTGGTGTTGGACACCTGGATGCGGTTGCTGCTGCCGCTGGCGCCCCGCCTCTGCCCCTCCCCGGCGGCGGCGGCGGCGGCCGGCGCGTCGGCCGCGGCGCCCGCCGCCCCCTCGCCGTCCTCCACCTTGAGGCCCCTCACGCCCTCGGTTATCCCCTCCACCGCCATGAGTGCTGGCTGGTTTGCTGCCGCGCCGCAAAGCTAGATCGACAGGATTTTTTTTTTCTAGGTTTCTCGTTCTAGGTTGTAGTCTCGACCACGTTGCGTGCTGCGTTCGCAGAGAGAAACGGACGGAGGCGAAGGAAGAAGGTAAGCAAAGTACCAAACCCAGCAAACGCGTAACCCTACTTTGATTGGGCTTTTCTTGGTCGTTGCAGCCGGCCGACGTGAAAAAAACGCGAGAGCTGTATCCTGGCCCGGCCTGTTTTCCATTTTTCCGTATCTGTTTTTCTTTTTTCTTTATCACATCTATTTTACCAAGTGACACATATGTGGTAAGCAATCAACTATTCAAAAATGTTTTTTCTCATTTTCCTAAAAATATTCAGAACACAAAGTTTTCATTTAAAAAACAAAATCTCAAAAAATGTGCCGGTTTTCAAAATTTGTTCAAAATTTTCAAAACAAATCAGAGGTAAAAGAACTTAGGATTCAAAATTGTTAGCTTATTTAAAATGTCCGAAATTTCTTTAAAAATACAATTGCCAAATTCAAAAAAATCTTTATATTTTTAAAATTTGCTCAAACTCAAAAAATCTTTAGGAATTCCGAAAAATGCTCATGTTTTCGAAATACTTTCGAAAATTTAGAAAATGTTCATGTTTTGAAAATTTGTTCAAAAATGCAAAAATAAATTGGGGAATTTAAAAAAAATCATAGTGTTCCTAATTCCAAAAAAATGTTCACATTTTAAAAAATAATCAAGATTCCCAAAATATGTTTGCGTTTTTTGAAAAAATTGTTCAAAATTTTGAAAATTATTCATGTTTCAAAAAATATTCACTTTTTTAAACAATAAATCATCTTCAGAATTTCAAAAATGTTTAAATCTATCGGGGCTTATAGTTTTTATATCCCCACGCTGCCTATTTGGACACCGAAGCTTACAAGTTACAGTGGCTAGCTGGTAGGATTAGCAGCGATAGGTTCGTAGTTTGATTCCTCACCCGCGCAAGCCACTAAGATTAACAACAATAGGTCCATAGCTTCAATGGCTCGAGGGCTCCTTCGTGGAGACCATAAAGGGGTGGCAATCGGGGTGGTTCTACATCACTGAGCCGCATGACGCCAACTGGGTGGCGGCCCCCGAGTTTCGATCCGAAATCCCCACGCGGCTCACTTCCTGGAAGGAGAAGGGCCTGTCCTGGGGCTCATCGGTGGAGCTGGACGGACTCTAGAAGTGTATCCGGAACATGACAAGCAAGAAACTTAAGCTTGTCAACATAGTCCAAGTCATGCTCTTCCGCCGGATCCTCCCATGTCAACAACGGGCTTTCAACTTATGGGAGTTCGACCCGGCCCAGCACCAGACTCTACGTGAGCTCTTCAACACGACGCATAAGGACGTCTGGAAGGTGCTGTTCAAGGGCACCGAGGTCCCTCCTTCTCTTACCAAGGACCACGGGCTAAGGCGAAGCGCCCTGCGAATCTGGTAAGCTATGTGCATAGGGTATTTATTTCCCATAGCTTAACCATGTGCAGGGTCTGAGCTCCCATGCCTTTGACAGGTCTGGATGGAGACATCGGAGCAGATTAACTGTCCGGCCCCTCTGCCCGAAGACCCTGCGGACGCTCTCCTGATGGAGATGCGGACTCCGGCTCCTTATGCGGTGCCGGAGAAGACTAAGAAGAAGGCCAAGGGAACCCGAAAGAGTTCCCGGCGCCAGGTGGTATCGGACTCATCGTCCGATAACTCCGAGACGCACTCCTCCCGTGAAGATGAGGAGAAGGAAGATGAAGATTATCCCCCTCCAGCCGAGGGAGACAAGAAAAGGAAGGCCACCCCAACCGGGGAGGCCGAAGGGTCCAAGAAGGGAAGGACTCTCCTTCCGGACTGCTCCACTACAGCCGCCGACGGCGAAGACGAGTGGCTGCTCAGGGCCAAGCCCCTGGCGAAGTTGTAAGTATTCGGATACCAAAGTAACTCATAGCATACTTTTGTTGCACTGCTTCCCCTAACGTCGAACATGATTATGCAGTCCGCCCCAAGCCCGTATCGACGTATCCTCGTCAGACGGTTCCTTGGACTCGTCGGACATGGATAGTGATACACTTCCAACCGCCTCCTCTCCTTGTCCTACGGACAATGCCAAGGTATTGTCTCAAGGGGCACCAAGCCGGGGGGAGACAGTCCCGGAGGCGCCTCAAGGCAACCTTCCGGACTCCAGGAGCAAAGGGATTAAGGCTCCTAGGGGCTCCAAGTTCGGCCCTCGGCCAAACACCACGCCGGAACCTCCCGTGGTTCCAGACTCGGGCAGGCGGCCCCCTTCCAAGAAGGGCAAGCTGTACGTGCCGGTGACCTCTGTCCAACCAGAGGCACCGGACGACCTACTGGGAGTGCTTCGGGGCACTTCCATCGACGAAGCGACCGCACTATTATGAGTGCGGTGATCAAGAAGGTTCAGTTCACAAAGAGCGGACTGACTGAAGTCTGTGCCAGCCTTCTAACAGGCTTTGAGGTAAGTATTTAAAATATAGGAAAAATATTACCGCATAGACAGTAGCCCCTGATGCTCTGTTTGGTGTTCACAAAGAAAAGCCGAATAGAGGATCAATAATATCTACAAGAGTCTAATATAAGTATGTCTGTATGCGTATGCAGACTTCGCTGCTGACCTCTGCCGCACTGACTGCGGAGGTCGCCGCACTGAAGCAGGACCTGAAGCGCTCTGAGAAAGAGCTTGGCCTTGACAAGAGGCAGCTCGAGGAGAACAAAGGTAACTAATACCTTGTCTATATAAAAAAAGAAAATGTGGTTGCGAACTGACAGGATCATCATGAATGTGCCAGGGGCCACGACCGAAGTGGCGACCCTGAAGCAATCGTTATCCGAGGCCGAAAACAAAGTGGCCAAGGAGCGCACCGAGCGGGAGAAACAAGAGGCACGGGTGGGCGAGGTGCAGCAAGAGCTTCAGGCTCTCATGAAGAAACACGAGACTTTGGATCTTGACTCAAAGACGCGAGAGTCTGAGCTTGCCGCGGCCCTCGAGAGCACAAAGCATGCCAAGGCTGAAGCCCAAAAGGCCCTCCAGGAAATTGAGGCAATGAGGAAGATACCGGCGGGTAAGGCATTCAATATGCAAAGCAAGCATGTGAAAGTAAATTCTTTGTTACTTACCCGAGTCCGGAGCTCTCCAGGAGCATTCGCAGATTTGCCCCGCAGCGTGTCGGATGCCGCAAAGTATCACCAGGCCGAGGAGGGAAGCTCGACGGAGAAGTTGTTCTGGTCTCAATACACTGGGACCGAACACCCGATGCCTATGAGCAACCAGCTGAAGCAACTGGTCGAGGTGCACAAGGCGGCCGAACAGGCCATGAGGGGCCTTATAGTCCGGATGTGGCCTGGCGACTCCCTTCCCAACAACTACTTCGGCCTGGTGAGGCGGCTTGTGGATGCCTGCCCATGGCTGGAAGTCATCAAGCGGTCCGCCTGTATCGAAGGTGCCCGCCGGGCTTTTGCCCGTGCAAAGGTGCACTGGGCCAAGATGGACGCCGAGAAGCTGGTGAAGGAGGGGCCGCCGTAGGGCAAGGAGCATCGCCACCCCGACATGTATTATGAGGGTGTCCTGAAGGGTGCCCGTCTTGTGGCGGATGAGTGTACAAAGGATGTAATATTTGAATGAACTCGCTCGTGTGATCCTGTATTATGAAAACTTATTCATATGCGCTATGCAACGCTTGTTTGAATTTGAAATATTACCTTTTGTGCGGTTGTTTCTTAAATCTGAGAGATGGCTAGTCGTCGGCTTCTGCCCCCATGCCACGAGTGCTAGGGTGTTCGGGATGAATCTGAGCACTCTTGTTTCCATTGTTGGGTCCTTTGAGGGAGGTGCTCAGCGCAACGAACAAGGCAATCGGGCTATAATGCTTTATCACTCTCACTTAGCCATAGAAGTCTACAATTTTCAGTTTTGGCGAAGCCCCTAGTATTCGGAAGGCCGAATTCGGGGCGCTATACACGCCTTAAGCCGGACAAAGCCGACTCCTCGCTCTAAGCGGCATAAGTCTTTAGGGACTCGAGACCTCTCGAACAGCGACCGGCTATCGCCTTATCATGACAGTCAGTTTTAGCTTTCTCTACTGAGGTGCTTAGCCTAGACGAACCGGGGCACAATCGCAGTAGTTCTCCCAGTGCTACCTTACCCGATATAGCGGAACGTAAGGTACCAAAACATGGGAGCCGGGCAAACCCAACTATTGACCCAAGACATAATTCGGAGTCGATGCATATAACGCTATAAGTTCGGGGTGCCGCACTGTCGAAAGTGTTCGGACTTCTCACGCCGTATTATGGGGTATGCTTGAGCCCCTGGTGTATTGGCCGTACCAGAGTGTACGGGTGCTGAATGTTATGAATGGACATATATATATATATAAAAAAAAGAATAGAGAATGCGGTAATAGTCTAGTGCTATGCATTGTTTATTCAAAAAGGTGCGTCGAAGCAGAATGATACAACTAGTGCGATAAGCAAAAAGTAGGACTATTTGACATGTCCCCTCCAAGGGCAACCTGAGGAACGTTATTTAAAGCAGGTATTTTCACTCGTTATCACAAACCACCTGGGAGTTCCGTGGTGTGACGTAGCTTTCTGCCTCCTTGGTTGTTGCATCGTGTGTCCGGCAATCGTACTACCGGACTGGGTTTCCAGAGATTAAAGTCTTGAAAGAGAGAAAAATAACAACGCGGGAAGCCCCTACTGCGGTTTAGCCGTGTCTTGGGGCGTGCCATAGTCGTGCCCCCTCCCCACCTATGCCCATGGTATTTTCAACGCGTAATTATGTACGTGTGGCACGGATTTCGCCATTTGGCTGGTACTGGGGTGGGGGCCGCGTTGCTATGCGAGCTCGGAACGTGCCAGGCGGTCTTGTTGTCGATTACTCCGGGCGCGCTTGAAGGTGTCCAGGTCTTTAATCGCTGAACTGGTGGATTGCCTTAAGAGGCTGCTT